AAGTTTATAACTTACCTTCAAGCATTCCTTGACATTCAGCATAAAATTTAAAATTAGAAAGGAAGTAATGGACTTCCACTTATTAAAAAAGCACAGAGTAGTGGACTAAAACAAGAGCAATATCCCCATCTACTAAAACAAGAGCAATATCCCCATCTACTAGAAGATTCACACACTTGAAAGTCCACAGATTTATAAATAATACTCCTAACCATACTCTTTGATTCTTAAGCATACCTTGTCCCTGTCCCCTAATTCTTCAAGTTCAGCTTCAAGTAGTTTATCGATGCTTTTTTTATCAGTTTTATTGCAGCTTAAACTGTCAGTTGATGGCACACCAGTTTCCAGATGTTGTTTCTTTATTGGTGTTTCTTTTTTCAAATCTGGTTCACCTTCCTGACTGACAGTTTTATTGTGCCCATTTTCGTTGCAAGGATGTGTTTCTGATTCATCATCACTAGACGAATCAGAATCCTTGAACCGAATTTTATTGTTCCGCACTTTTGCAGGTTCTGATGTAGATTTTGCACTTGAAATTCTCTCTTCAGTTGAATCTTCTCCATGCAATAGCTCTTCATAGAACTGTGCATCATGTGTAAAGTATCATTTGGATGCAATGAACGCAAAAAGAGAGAATCAATCAAATTATTGAAGACAAGAACAATCTCAGCTATTTGAGTTTGTAGCCAAATCTGAAAAAAAATTATAGGCTTATAGAAATTGCTCTAGAGAAAAAGCTGCATATACTAACTTTTCCTGATAATCCTCAGGAAAGATCATCACTTTGCAGAACAAAGTGCTCAGACCAGAACAGAAATCACCGAAAGGAAACAAAAGAGAACCACTTGACATACTCCTAAGACCGAAATGCTTGCTGCAAGATTAGTACCACAATAGATCACTTTGTAAAGCTCTTTTCTACTCCTTTTAGCATATAATAATTTCTCTCCATTTTTTGACCCAGAGCACCAAGTCATTCGTAAGGATGAAGTCTGCGAGAAATGTCACCCTAAAGGTCTATCAGCTTGAAGCCATATTTAATGTGCATTTACTAAAAAAATTTGAATATTTAATTGGAAAAGGAAGAATGTAGATGAAGAATTTACATTGTTGGAGACAAATGCAAATACTTTGGCTAACAGTGTGCAAGCAGAAGCGTTAGTAATTTCCTTCACCTTACACACAAAAACACAAGCAGTAGCAACAATCAAAACTTCAACCAAATTCTCCTCAGCCTATTCAAGTTCATCTTTAACAGGTTGAGAATATCCATCATTCATGCATTCTGCATGCAAAACATATGTGCCTCTTTCCACAGCTCCGTAGCAAATATACAGGCTATTGAAGCTGATGCTGCTACATGAATGTTCACTAGCTAAATATCGATATCACCGTAGGATACTCTGCTTCGAAATCCAGATCATCCACACATACTTCCAAAAGTGGCATTTAGACCCTTGTTTTAAAAGAACATTCTCCATGAGGATCAATCATCCAAACAATTATTGTCTTAAAAACTCCTACTAAGACAACACAAGCATGCAAGCACAGGACACACACATTATGGAAAAAGCTTCTCCAACACGCTTATAGTTTGAGGGACTTGTTTGGGTTGAAATCTTGCACAACATTTTGTTTCGAAAATAAACGATCTAAAAAGTGATCTTCAATTCTTGAAGGCCTAGGTCCACCATCCACCAAATGTATGGCCCATGCCCACCAAAATTGCTGACTCATTTTCCTCCCTTTTTTGTATGAATTCAAACGTTTTTTTTAGGAAATTAGCAGAAAAATCCCTTTTATTTCCAAATTTTAAAATAGTTCTATATATTCTTATATTTTACACTTAAGTCCCACTTTTTTATAATGAGTATTGTATTTTAATTTTATTATTTTTTCTATATATTCGATAAAACACAAATTTTGGCCATCCATACCTCTCATATAACGCACTTGTAATGAGATTAAATTATATAATTAAGTTAAACAAAAATGGCCAAATGCCTAAAATTTCGAAATATCCATAAAATTTTCAAATTTGTAAGGACATTTTGGCCATTTTTATTTAACTTATTTCTATTTTTAGTACTTTTAGAAGTGCATTATGATAAGAAGTATGGCTGCCTCAAATTTGAGCTTAATCGGCTATAGAAAAAAGAATAAAATTGGAAAACAGATTTTTTTCGTAAATTTCCTTCTTTTTTTATTGTTGATCATCTTGAAAAGATCTAAATGTCTGGGGCATACTTTTCAAAGCAATCTACGGAACAGTATAAATCCCAAAAATTTTGCACATACGCTCTCTTGTATTTGACAAATAAAATCATGAAAAAATGCAGTGAATATGTACCTTCCATTTCAGGTGTTATAACATAGTGTTAGATCGAAAGGGAGAAAGGATTTATTTGATCCCAGATTTTGTAGATTGCCTCATCATCATCAAATAAACAATTAAAAAAAGAAACGAAGTTGAGTTCTCTAAGACGTAGATTTGAACGTACAATAAATGGACCATCAGTCTTCACTATTGGGTGCTTTTTTTTTTTTGAATGTTACTATTGCGTGGGTTTTCTTTAGCCACTTCTGGGCTGCACATTTCACTATCCTTTTTCAAGTTGGGAACTACAATGAGTAGTGGTTAACCCAAAAGGTTCCCCTAGCTATGGTTTTGAGCAGGGCAAAGATTCCAGTGGTTCACCCTTGAGCACACGCACACACACATGCACACACTTGTATTATTATTATTTTTGAGTAAGTTGTGCATATACTTATATTTGGTTACATGGGAGTTTCCTCCCCAACAGTTCGATTAACGATCTAACAAATGAAGGAATAACAGTTACACAACTATGCAATAACCGCCATAAAAAATGCAGTGAATATGTACCTTCCATTTCAGGTGTTAGATCGAAAAACGGATTTATTTGATCCCAGATTTTGTAGATTGCCTCATCATCATCAGATAAACAATTAAAAAAAGAAACGAAGTTGAGTTTTCTAAGACGTAGACTTGAACATACAATAAATGGACCATCAGTCTTCACTATTGGGTGCTTTTTTTTTTTTGAATGTTACTATTGCGTGGGTTTTCTTTAGCCACTTCTGGGCTGCACATTTCACTATCCCTTTTCAAGTTGGGAACTACGATGAGTAGTGGTTAACCCAAAAGGTTCCCCTAGCTATGGTTTTGAGCAGGGCAAAGATTCTAGTGGTTCACCCTTGAGCACACGCACACACACATGCACACACTTGTATTATTATTATTTTTGAGTAAGTTGTGCATATACTTGTATTTGGTTACATGGGAGTTTCCTCCCCAACAGTTCGATTAACGATCTAACAAATGAAGGAATAACAGTTACACAACTATGCAATAACCGCCATACCACTACTGGTAATTACCTTCCTATCACCCATTGAATTTCCAATCCAATGGTAGGGGAGGGAACTCCCATACAACCGAATACAGGGGACATACTACTATGATGTATATAGGGAAAAAGTGATTCCTCTTGTTGTTCCTCCAGCTCTGTTAGAATGCGCTTAAATACCAGATGAGTATTCATTGCATATTAAATGCTTTACTTTTCTCATATAATTCGGCTTAAAAGTAAACTTCTAAAGGTATTATGAAGAAAGAACAAGACAAATATGATAAAGATTATGGTAGTACATACTTGGTAAGGTTTAATGGAAAAAATTGCACTTCGATTTAAGAGCGTGTATGATAGAGCTTTCTAATCCTAGTGGATTATCAAAAAGCATCGAGTGTAGATCCATTGGGTTAAAGTTAAGTGAACGTATTTGATGCTATCTATGGTAACAAAATGACATTCAAATAGTTCGGATTTATAGAATGCTTTTAAAGGTATTATGAAGAAAGCACGAGATAAATATAAAAAAAGATTTTGCTAGTACATACTAGGCAAGGTTTATTGAAAAAGATTGCACCTTCGATTTAAGAGTGTATATCATAGAGCTTTCTGATCCTAGTGGATGTCTAACATTATCAAGAAGCATCAAGTGTAGATCCATTGGGTTAAAGATAAGCGAACACATTTGATGCTAATCATGGTACTAAAATGACATTCAAAAGCCTGAAGAGGTTTTGAAAAAAATGTTGTACATAAACATCATCGTAATCATTATCCAAGCTTTGTCCCAATTATTTGAGGTCGGCTACATGAATCATGTTCCTTCATTGTTCTCTTTCAAGGGTCATACCCTCAGTAAGACTAAAAGTCACTATATCTTTTCTCAATACTTCTATCCATGTCCTTTGAGCCTCTCCTTGCCTTTTTAGGGCCTTCCGCTTGAACCAAATCGCACTTCCTAATGGTGCTATGTTAGGTCTACATTGCACATGGCCAGCCCACCTAAGTCTATTTTTCCTCATCTTAGCACCTTTGAAGCCATACTTAGGTTCCCTCTTATGCATTCACTCCAAATTCTATCCTTTCTTGTCTTGCCACTCATCCATCTAAACATCCTCAACTTAGTTACGCTCATCCTATGGATATGTTCTTTCCTGACTGCCTAACATTCCGTCCCATAAAGCATGGCTGGTCTCACAACAGTCCTATAAAACTTCCCCTTCAGCGGTTCAGCCTCAATGGTACACAACGATCACATAAAACTCCAAATGCACATCTCCACTTCGCCACCTCTAATTATATGTGTGACATCTTCTTTAATCTCTCCATCTCCTAGATTATCGACCTACATATCGAAAACAATCTCTTTTTAAGTATACCTCAATCATCTATCTTAACTACTTCCTTATTTTTACTCCTATTATTACCAAACTTGCATTCCATATATTATGTCTTAGTCCGACTAATTTTAAAACCTTTAGATTCTAAAGCATCCTTCCAACATTCTAACTTTGCGGTGACGCCACCTCTAGTCTCATCAATCAAAAACTATGTCATCCGCAAACAACATAGACCATAGTACCTCATCTTGTACAGGCCTGGTTAACTTATTCAAAACCAAAATAAAGAAATATGGGCTTGGTGTTAGACCCCTAATATAGGCCCATTGTAACTGAAAACTCACTTGTCTTTCAACTAATTGTCCGCACACTAATTAGCATCCCTCGTATATATCTTTCACTATGTCAATATAGCCTATGGTGGCTCCTTTCTTTTCCAACACCCACCAAATTAAACCTCCAGGTACCCCATCATATTTTTTCTAAATCGATAAAAACCATCTGGAAGTATTTTTCCTTCACCCTAAACCTCTCATTCAGTTACCTAAGTAGGAAATGGCTTGAGTTTCCAATACACTCGCTTCAAGCCATAGTCGTTGCTCAACCAATCTCTCCTGCAGCTTCATAGTGTGGCTCATAAGTTTGGTCCCTTGATAGTTCATACAACTATGTATATCTCATTTGTTTTTGTAAAGAGGTACGACAAGATTTTTTATCCATTTGCATGGCATTTTCTTTGTTCTCAACACTTTGTTGAACAGCTTGGTAAGACAACATATACCAATGTCCCCCATGCACTTCCAAACATCTATTTGGATACTATCTGGTCCTAAAGCCTTTCCTATCTTCATCTTCCTCAAAATTTCTTACACTGTAGATATCCTAATCCTGCGAAGGTAAGTTCCTCCTAACGTTGTGCTCCTATTGTGTTCGTCATTTAACAATTTCTAAAAATAGGTTATCCACCTTTTGTTAACCTCATCATCTTTCACTAAGATCCTTTTATCCTCACTCTGAATGCATCTAATATGATCTAAATCCCTACACTTCCTCTCTCTTATTTTTGTTAGTTTGAACACATCGTTTTCCCCCCTCTTTTAACCCTAGTTTATTGTATAGCTTATCATATGCTTTAAGTTTAACCCTAGATACTATTTCTTTAGTGTTTTTCGTAGCATTTTTATATTCTTCTAAGTTTTGATCATTTCTATTATATTGTCAAGCTTTATAACATTATCATTTTTCACTAATAGCCTTGTCAAGCTTTTGAACCCTCACTCCACCACCAAGTTTCCTTGTCGAAATTTTTTTCCCTCTAGTTTCTCTTAAAACTTTGCTTGCCACTTTTGTAATACAGTTGACCATCTCATTTCATATATCATTAACTTCATGCTTAGAATTTCATTTCCTTCTTTTACCAATTTGTCTCTAAATAAATCTATGTTCTCTTTTTTTAAATTCCACCACCTAGATCTTGGACACCTATTAATTTAATTCTCGCTTCCATATCTTCAGGAAGACATCCATAATCACAAGCCTATATTGTATGGTCAAACTCTCTCATGGGATAAATGTTGTACAGAAACACTTGACAAAAATGTCTAGCAAAAGGCCAACAAAAACAAAAAAAACAGTAAGATATATTCCGCATAGAATTTTAAAACCTAATCTAATACATCCCCATTGCTTATCATAATTCCTCGTAATCTCTTCATGAATGAGCCTGCATGTTCTAGGAGCCTGGAGCGCACATCATTTTCTCCTTTTTGCCTCCTTCAAATCATTCATCTTTTACATATTCACCATTGGTTTCTAATGACACAGTTATATAGGAAAAATTTTCCAGATTTTGGGGTTCCCATGGATATTTCGAACAAGTTGTACTAGGAACTGTTGCTAGTCTGGAGATGGGAAGGAACATATTATGCTACCATAATTATGATAAAAGAAAAAAATAATATAAATAACAAAGTTTCATATGGAACCAACAACTAGCATTCACTTGCATCTCAATGAACTTGCATAATTACATTCCTGGAATAAAACCAATGGCTAGTTCTTTATCCACCAAGTATAGCAAAAGAAGATGTATGCAATCTCTACAAAAAGAATATCATTTAGAGAAGGAAAAACACCCACAAAGGAATTCCTAGGCTCAAAATCATTGATAAAGAGCACTGCTACATGACTCAAAATCCTCACAACTATTTATTAGTGCAGGACTCAGTACCCAATAGGAACATCATACGTCCCATAAACGGAGACAGTTAAATTCGCTCTCAACCAAGGTATTTAAGACTTGACCCGGTCAACTCACACTCGGCCGAGTTACTCGGATTCTGAACATTGATGAGCCAAGTCATGGTTACAAACTTGGACATATAAAAACAATCATAAAAAAGTCAAAAAAGTTATATCTTTTATTAAATCAATGCATAGATGTGTTCATATATAACTTTTGATTTTTTTATGATGATTTGTGAATCTTTCCTATCATATACTCTATATTCCCCCCCTTTTTCTAGATTTCTTTGAATTATTTCCAGCTATAAACCAATTTTTCCCAAATTCTATATTTTATAATTTTTCCCTTTTTTTTAGAATTTTAATGCTTGTTTGTAGTTTAGTTTTTCTTCTTTTTTTTAACGATTTTTATTTTAAGCAACTTTTTGGTACTTTTTCAAAATTTTAACCCTTTTTTGGGGATGGAAATTACCAACATGAGTCCAATCGGACTTGACTGAGTCACAAAGCACGAGCAAGGGCTGAGTCTTGAACCGAACACAGCTCTCACCATAAAAATCCCACAAACGGCCATTCCATAGTAGCAAGACTTCATATATGATCATGCCTATAAGTAAGAAAGGTTACTATATCTAGAATACAAGTATAGCACATTGTACCTTGAATACAAGTAAGTTTTCAAAATTGTAGGAAAGTAAAGACAAACACTTTGCCAGCTTAAATATCTTATTCACCATAAATCGATCTAAAACAAGTGCCAATAAATCATCAACTTGCTCTGAAAATCTATGCTAGGTAGTCAAGGGACCGCATTTAATATCCCTAAAAAATAAACAATCAGATTAATCATATCTAATTACAAAACAAATAAAGGAATTCATTAATTCTCCTTCAAAAGAAGTGTAACATCTCCTAAACCATGGAATTTATATTCCAATAAAATTCATATTTAACACAGTGACAAGAATAATCTTCCAAAAACGAAGTTTCAAAAATAAAAAATAACAGTAAAAAACAGATATAAGCAATCCATAATTTTTTTATAAATGAATCAATCCAAAAGAAAACCGAAAGACGAACCAAAAGGGTTATCATGGAAATAATACCTTGTCAAGGAGATTAATGGCCTCAGTAGTAGCTTGCCGTTCCCTTCCACCATCACAAGTGACAAAGAAACCTTGAACCCCAGGGCGCAATGGGTATGAACCCTTCTTAGTTGGTCTCTGTTTAAATCAGAAAAATATATATTTTTATTTATACATACACAAGAAGCTTCACCTTGATATACTCCTTCAATCAAAACAATCATAAAGTTACAGACGAGTGAAAATCAGGAAAGATACATCTAAGAACATGAGAGGAACTTGATAACATTCTCGGTTGTGGAAAGAGAAAATTACATTGTGCGGCAAGTAATGGGATTTCCTCTTTTTGTTTCTGCCATCGTTGTTGTCATTAGAGACTGACTTGGTCTGCCCCTCAACTGCCATGGCTGCAACCGATTGCTTAATGCGTCTCTCTCCTTCTATTGCTATTTCCCAAAGCGCATAAGCCTACAACGTATTCGTTTTAGTAACTTCAAATTACATAAAGGGAACCCTTGCAATAGAAGTGGCAATGAGCAGTCTCTCTCTCTCTCTTTCAAAAAAAACTTCATATGCAAACCTAAACAAAAGGAACGGTCAGCATGTTGCTCATGTAAAACCGAGGTTTAAAAAAGCTCATCAGCTGCAAATTTTGCCTCAAAAGGTTTTCAAAAAAATCTATATAAATTTTTAAAAATAGTGTTATTTTATTTTCTAAAAAAAATTCCTTATAAAAATAGGTGACTATAAATCTTTAAAAATAGTGTTATTTTAGTTTCTAAAAAAAAATTCGTTATAAAAATAGGTGACTATAAATCTTTAAACATAGTGTTATTTTAATTTCTAAAATAAATTTATTTGTAAAAATAGGTGAATAATACGATGTTTTTCCCCCACCCCCCCCCCCCCCCTCCCCAAATTAACTTATTCATTCAACTTACCCCCCATCTTTGCTTTTCTAACAATTTTTTCTCCAAAACTATGTTTCCTAGCAAATACCCCCCAATACAAAAAGCGAACTTTTTTTTGATGAAGATACCCTTCTCGTAATTTAAAAACTCATTTTCGGGTCCAACAAAAAGAAATGTCGGACCCAGGTTACGAATGCCGAATAGCCCTCTCATAATTCCATAATTACCGGATTGCATTTGTAAACGTCAGAGCGCCAGTCAACAGCAAAAATCCCCGGACTGTCATATACAAACGCCGAACTAGCCTCTCTAATCGTCGGACTGCCTCTCAGAACACTGGACCCAGTGACACTTAATGCCGGACTGGCCCTTCAAAATACCGAACTGACCTAACAAACTATCAGAATGCACCTCAAAACGCCGGACCGGGGCAGTTCCAGTGACACTGAACGCTGGACTGGCCCATGAAGACGTCGGAGTGCCTTTCCTCATTGCTGGACTGCCCTCATAACACAGGATCGAGGCAGTTCCAGTGACACTAAACGCCGAACTGCCCCTCCAAAATGCCAGATTGCCCCTTATAATTGCTGAACTGCCCCTTGAAAACGTCGAACTGACCTTCTTTATTGTCAGACATCCCATCATAACATCGGACCAGGGGCAGTTCCAGTGAAGCTGAACGTCGGACTGCCCCTCAAAAATGCCAGACTGCCCTTCCAAACTTCCGGACTGCCCTCAGAATGCCGAACCGAGCAGTTCCAGCGACATTGAATGTCGGACTGCCCCTTCCAAACACCCGACTGTCATATCTAATTGCCGGACTGCCCCTCAGAATGTCGGACGGGGGTAGTTCCAGTGACCTTAAATGCCGAATTGCCCCTTTAAAAGGCCAGACCACTCCCCAAAATTGCCGGACTACCCCCCAAAATTGTCGGACTACCTCCCAAAATCATCGAATCGCCCCCCAAAATCACCAGACTGCCCCCAAAATCATCGGACCGCCCCCCAAAATCACCGGACTGCCCCCCAAAATTACTGGACTATCCCCCAAAACTACTGGATCATCCCAAAACTATGTTTCCTAGTTAATGGAACATGTTTCATGTTTCATGTTTTAGTTAATAAAGCACAACATGTACTTGATGTTTGCAAACTGGTATCAGCATTGTACCGAACATTAATCTAAGTATACACAGCCACAGCTACAACATCATCATCAAGAAAATTATTTCATGTCAAAATAAAAAGAAAAATGAAAAATCACATGTTCACATAAAGATAATCCACATACATTCCTAAAGTCTCAAGGTGCCCCTTGAATAGTATCATCAAGGAGAAATAGAAAAAATTCCAAGAACAAAAGCAACATTGAGAAAGTGTCTCAACTTCCCAACTAGCATTCAACAAAGTTCAAAAATCTATTAGAATGGGACATTTCACTAGCTGGCTGCTATGATAGAGTAGCTTAAATTATACAAAAAGAATGGACATTTCACTCTTAGAAACTCAAAAATACATATCAATTGAAAAATACAACTCAAAATAAGGTCCACAGCCTTTGCAACTTGCATTAATCACTTTTCAAATTACATATTTGAGTATCATCTAAAAAAAAACATGCCAATCACTTTCTTCGCTTCAGCCATTTTGTTGGCCAGCTTGCAATACCCTTTCCCTTTACATCGGGTTCCTCCCTAGTCCTTTTCACCTGGACATCTCCCTCTCTTCATGATCACAAATTCCGCCTTGATTCTTTATGCAAGGTCGGCACAACTTGAATCTGGTTGCTTTGGTTCTTGTCGTTCCTACTCTTCGTTCTCCTCTCATTTTCGTCATCGGTCTCGCTCTCTCTTTCCTCATCTCCGCCATCTCCTTCCTCAGTCTCGCTTTCCTCATCTCCACTATTAGCCTCCTCGCTCTCGCTTTCGTCATCTCCATCATCTCTCTCCTTAGTCTCACTTTTGTCATCTCCGCCATCTCTCTCCTCGCTCTCTCTTTCACCATCTCCCTCCACCCTAATTTGTCTCCATATGAGTGTTTTGCAATAGCAAATCATGGGTCACCTATACATAATGTCTTGATTCCCCTGCTAATACTTCACCCCTAAGTGCAGCTTGTAGCATCCCTATACAGGTTAATCGCTGCAAGTGGACAATGAAAAACAAAATAGAAAATTACTTTGAATATATATTTGGTCAATAAAAAATAAAATACATAAATTAGATAATATATCAGTCTCCTCTCGTCATCATGGCCTGCAAGGAGGATACATGGGATTGTGACTGCGAAGGGGGGGCACATGGGAGTATTTCTATAATCATGGCCTGCGAGGTGGGGCACATTTGATTGCGACTACGAGGGGGGGCACATGGTAGTCATCTAACCTAGTACTACTGTCAATCATAAATGTACATGCATCACCACCAATATAATCCAAAGTCTCATCGACACTTGATCAGAGTTCTCCACCAAAAATACAATAACCCAATCTGTTATCACCCTTTTTTTTGTCATGCACAACATTTACAATACTTTACACTCCACACATTGCATTACAACATCTTAATACTAGCCTTGAACTTGCGGAAGTTTAGCAAGCTATTAGAATTTTTTTTCAAATAGCTACAATTAAATTTTAACAGAAGGTATGCATATTATTGGGGGTATATAACCTACAAAAAACAAGAGCAGCGCATAATTTTATTTTTTAATGAACTAAAGTTAACAAGAATAATATGATGAATTATTCACATCCAAAATTGATAACGAAACAAACTCAATTCCAGCCAGTAGAGAATAAATTTACAATAGGGAACAAAAATTTACAACTACTAAACGGGGACAGGGGACATATGTTTATTCTCTCTGATTTACAGTGGACCACAGGGGACATATGTTTTGATCTTTTCATTTTTTCTATCTTTTTTGTAAAAAAAAGCAACTCTATAATCCCGACCTTCTCTCTATAACAGGCTCTCTCCTCTAGCCAATTTTTTGTACAGCTAACCTCACAGTGGGTTTCGTTGTTAAGATGCCACATTCAAGCCCTAAATATACCACATTCAAACCAATCTCTATTCTTTTAGATAAGTTTAACAAAGTGGATAATCAAGATTGAGAAACAGATACACATGGATTCAATTTATTCTCTCTGATCAATTTATTCTCTCTTATTTAAATCCTCAATACATGCATGAAGAATCTATCTAGCCACGAAAGGAATGTCACATAATATAAATCATCAACAATTTACCTAAATAAAATCCACAAAAATTAAATTACTTGTGTGATCAAAGAGAAAACCATCTAGAAACCACTAGCCCGATTTTTACAGAGATGACAGTAATTTATTTTTTATTTTTACAATAGTAAACTCTCTTTCGTACCTGTGGGCTGATTTAGGGCTATAATCGAGCTCGGTTGCTTCAACCTAGTTTGTTACCACCTATGATGGGTAAATCATGAGAGAGAGAGAGAGAGCCAATGAAGAATAGGAAAATCGTGAGAGAGAAAGAGAGCACCAATGAAATTGGGTACATCGTGAGAGAGAGAGAGAGAGAGCGCTGGGTAAATCGTGGGTAAATGGTGTGAGAGAGCGCCGGTGAAGACAGTGAAGAGAGCGGTGAAGACAGTGAAGAGAATGGTGAATACAATGAAGAGAGTGAAGAGAGAGAGAGAGAGAGAGTAAAAAGTAAAAAAGGTAGGGTAAAGGAGGGGTAGTATGATCCTAAGTTTTGTACTTTTTTTAGGTGGGGGGTATTTATTAGGAAAGATGGGTTTTAAAAAAAGATAGTGAGGAAAGTATAAGTGGGGGGTAAATTGATAGAATAGCTGTTTCTGGGGGACTTTTTGTAATTTTCCCTTAAAAATATTAGAAAATACTTCCCTAGTATAAAATTAAAAAATTAATTTTTCATATAAAGTAAAATTAGTATCACATCAAAGTAACAAACATTTATTAATTCACTTTACTCATCCAAAATTATCACAACCTAACTGACTATAATATTATTTACTAAAATTGAGTGTGTTAGTTTATATTTTCTAATTATTGTATTATACAAATAAGAACAAATTTAAAATGACTTATACTATCGTCTACTTTAAAATATATTATTTACAACTATAAGAAAAATAATACATTATATATTTTATAATGCAAATAAATTAATAAATAAAACACAAGATTTAGTTATCAATGTGTAATTATTCATTATAATAAACACAACTCAATAATTTTTATATAACAACTTAATACAATTTAAAATTATTCAAAATTTTATTGATGCATAAAATAAGTTATTGTAATAACAACTAGTTATTTTTTAATATTTGTAAAAATTAAAATATATTATTTAAAAATACAATCTAGACTAAATATAAAAAAAGTTTGGTTTGTATAGAAGCCTAGGCTCTAAACATTCAAATTAGAGCCTACCTTCAAATAATGTCGAGAAATATGGTTTCCATACTAGAAATCTTTGTGATAGCCTTAAAATATATTTTCATATTTATTTATAAAGTTTAAAGCTCCAAAAATAGTGTAGATCAGTAGATCTAGGAAAACTTGAAAATCTTGAAAATTGACGGTCCAAAAATGTGTTACAAAATATACCATTTCCAAAACTTGAAATCCATTTTTTTTCTCATGTCCATGCATCTTAATGGTGAGATGATCGATTTGAAGACATTTGGGCATCAAAACAACCTCTTTA